TATATTTAAAAATATATGTATATTCATATATTATATATATATGAAATAAAAATTAGAGAAAAAGAGGCATGAATTTGAAAGAGATCAGGGAGAGGTATATGGGAGGGGTGGGAGGGAGGAAAGGGAAAGGAGAAATATGGTAATTATATTATGATCTCAAACCAAACAAACACCTTTGAGTGAGTCACCCATTTGGCACTGTTAATCATTCAGGAGGGGTGGCTCTGGCTGGAACTTGTGATGACCAGCTCATCTCATACTCTTGGGGCTGTCACTGAGGGGCTAGGGAAGGTGTTCAGTTGGTCAAGGGCTTGCCACATGAGCACAAGAACCAGAGTTTGGTCCTCAGCACCCACATAAGAAGCCAGGCATCGCAGAGCATGCTTGTAATCCCAGCCCTGGGGATTTGGAGACAGACGGCTGCCTGGGGGTTGCCGGCTAGGTGACCAGGCCAAATCTTCCAACTCCAGGCTGTCTCCAAAAACTAGGTGGGTTGCCATATCTGGTGGTACATATCTTTGATCACAGCACTCGGTAGGCAAAGGCAGGCAGATATCTATGAGTTCTAGGCCAGCCTGGTCTACACAATGAGACTTGGTAAGGAAGCAAAGAAAGACAGGAAGTCAGAGGAGAGAGTCACCCAGAGCATTTTATTATCAGGCCTTGAAATTTACAAGATCTACTTTATGACCTAGAAATGCTCACTGCACAATTAAAACACTGGAAAATGAATGCCTTGTAAAAACCATACTGTCAGCTTAAGATAATTAAGAGCTTTTAATTAAATAAGTTCATAAGTGGAGCTGTACACTATGAGAAAAGGCTTGCCCTCAGCAGAGACCGAGTGTTCAATTCACTACAGTTATCATTAGAATCCTTAGCTTTCACACAGGGGCAGTGGTTCTGACCTGTAATCCCAGCCATGGGGAGGCTGAGAAAAGAGGATCGATAGTTCCCGGCTAGACTGGGCCACACAGGGAAAGTTCATCTAAAAAGAAAAAGAGGAGGTTGGAGAGATGGGTCAGTGGTTAAGAGCACTGGCTGCTCTTCCAGAGGACTCGGGTTCTGTTCCCAAGACCTACAAGAGGCTGATAACTGTCTATAACTGCAGTTCTGGAAGATCTGATGCCCTCTTCTGACCTCCTCAGGTACTGCACTCACATGGTGCACATACATACATGCAGGCAAAACACCTACGCACATAAAATAAACAAATAAAATTAATGTCAGGTGGCTCACAAGCCCCTGTAATTCCAGTTCCAGGGGATCCAACACCCTCTTTTAGTCTCCCAGGCACTACACTCACATGCACATACCCCACCCCCAGACACACACTTAAATCAAAATAAAATCTTTAAAGTTTAGATTTTCATCAATATTATTATCATATAATTTTTTCTCTCTTTTTTCCTTTTTTAGTTCGTTTGTTTGTTTGTTTTCAAGACAGGGTTTCTTTGTGTAGCCTTGGCTGTCCTGGAACTCACTCTGTAGATCAGGCTGGCCTTGAACTCACAGAGATCTACCTGCCTCTGCCTCCCAAGTGCCATGACCAGCTTCACTTCATATTTTCACTGTGTACAAAAAATAATAAAAATTTCAACAGACTGACATTGATGGATGGAGTGTTGAGTTGTCTTGGGCTTTAAGCTCCCACAGCTGAGCTGGAGACATGGCTCAGTTGGTAGGGTGCCTGTCTAGCAAGGACAAAGCCCTGGGTTCAACCCCCAGCACTCCATAAACCAATTGTGGTGGCACATGCCTAGCACTTGAGAAATAGAGAGGCAGGAGGATCAAGAATTCAAAGTCATCCTTGACTAATTAAGAAGTTCAAGGCTAGCCTGGGCTATATGAAATTTTGTCTCAAAAACAAAACAAAACAACAACATACACACACCCCTAAAAACAAACAAACAAACAAAAAATTCAAGGACCTATTTTGTTAAAATCTTTCTTAATTCATAGTATGTTTCTATAAAAGTGCATCCTAGGAAATAAATACACCCACTAATGTACTAGAAATGAAAAAGAGTATGATCAAGGGGATGGTATTCAGAGCTTACAACAAGGATCGTCGAGACCGTCAAAGAGGAATCAATCAAGGACTCAGCAGTCTCAGTTCCCAGAAAGGAGGCGGAGATAGGAACTGATAAAGGATTGAATCCAAGCATTTTCGCCCATTGCCGAAGGCAAGCACAGACCTGTGAAGAGAAGAGCTGGATGAGCTCTGATGAAGAAATGAGAGGCCAGTCCGTGGGAACCAGTAACAACACAGTGAGGTGCAGACAGGTGTCGGGCAGTGATTTATACAGAGTGTGAAGTTAGAATAATAGGAGCCACAATTTTCGGCCTAACTATGACAAATGGATGGTGGTGTAACCTGAAACCTAATGTCCTCTGGTTCGGCTCTCTGATGTGTCCTTGTGCTGTAGGATCCCAAGTCAAAGCTTTCAAAACCTACTCTAAGATGTTCCCCTCTGACACAAGGTTTCTTGTTCATTTTTTATTTAAATTGTGTATATGCCACATGTGCGTGGGTACCTGAAGAGGCCAGAAGAGGGCGTCAGATTCCCTGAACTTGGAGTTGTGCAGTAGTGAGGCCCCCGGATGTGGATGCTGGGAACTGAACTAGGGTTCTCTGCAAGAGCAGCCATGATCTTAACCACCGAGGAGTCTCTCCAGCCCTTGTCTGTTTGGGCTGTTTTGTTTTTAAAAACTAAGGGTTTACTTCTGTTTCTCTGTGCATGTGACTGTAGGTACCCTCAGAGGTCAGAGGCGTTAAATCTTCTTCGAGCTGGAGTTACAAGCAGTTATGAGTCACCCACTGTGGGTTCTGGGAATCAAGTTCAGTTTCTCTGCAAGGGCAGTGCTCACTCTTTTTTAAAAAAAAACAATTTATTTATCTTTATTTTTTTTATGTATGCATGTATGTCTGTGGGAGAGTGGAGAGTCAGATCTTAGAGTTACAGACAGTTGTTAGCTGCCATGTGGGTGCTGGGAATTGAACCTGGGTCCTTTGGTAGAGCAGTTGGTGCTCTTAACCACTGAGCCATCACTCCAGCCCCGTTGTTTTGTTTTTTGAGACAGGGTCTCTCTATGTAGCCCTGGTTATCTGGAAGCCCAATATATATAACAGCCTGGCCTCTAACTCAGAGATCCACCTGCTTCTGCCTCCCAAGTGTTGGGATGACAGGCATGCGCCACCGTGCCCAGCCGTTGCTGTCTTTTGAGACAGTCTTGTGCAGCCCATACTGGCTTCAAACTCAGTATGAAGCCAAGGATGACCTTGAGCTGACTTTCCTGCTCCACCTCCAAGTGCTGATTTCCAGGTGTGGGTCGTCATGCCCAGCTCAAGTCTGTTTTCTGCTATATAAAAAGGGAGGTGCAGCCGGGTGGCAGTGGTGCACGCCTTTAATCCCAGCACTCGGGAGGCAGAGCCAGGCGGATCTCTGTGAGTTCGAGACCAGCCTGGGCTACCAAGTGAGTTCCAGGACAGGCATCAAAACTACACAGAGAAACCCTGTCTCGAAAAAGAAAGAAAGAAAAAAAAAGGGTGGGGTGGGGGGGGGTGGGGGGGGGTCCTCCCACAGCATCGCAGCTCCTCACCTTACATCTTCTGCTCCCCCTCTGGACCTGCACATGGGTGTCCTTGATGCCTGTTCTAGGGATGGGAATTGAATCTGAGATACTGGGACAGAGGAGCAATAGGAAGCAGTCTCCACCCCAACTTTCTACTCCCAGCACGCATCTGGCCCAGGGCTTTGCCACCTGGTGGGTGGGGCAGAAGTAGGGTGGTGGGGGTAGGGATGGGAAAGATCTTCTAAGAAGGCTGCTGGGCTGTTAGGAGCGATACTTGCTCTGCACTTCCACCCACCCTCTGCTTGTCTTCTAGAAACTTCTTTTTTCATTCTATCTGTTTTCCCCCACGCTTTCTCTAGAGTCCTGGCAACTAAAAGCCAAGCTATTTTTAATTTATCTAGGTGGTGACTCGGGGCTGGGACACCCCCAGACCCATATCCCATGTCACCCTAATTGGGTGGGAAGATGGGCTCAGGTCAGAAGTCTCTGCTAGAGACTTGAGAGGAAAAGCAGGAATGGATATGCTATCAGGGATGGAGACACAGGGCAGAACCACCAAAAGTGGGACACTTGGAGACTACCTGGCTTGGGGCAGTTTGATCTCTGGGCAGATTGCTCCCACCAGCTCAGTCCCTGTATGTTAATGCTTCGGGGCGGCTGCTGTCTGTGTGCCCTGGTGGCTTCAGGGATTCTGACACATCTGGACACCCAGAAGCCTCAGCAGGGCTGTTATTAAGTGTGCCTTCATCATTTTGCCCCCATCACTGGGCACTTCAAATGTGCCAGACAGAGCACACTGGTAACCTGGGGCCTGACATAGGACAAGAAATAATGGGTTTCCTGGGGGCCTCAATAAATACCATTGAGCTATTGTGTCTGCCCCCAATGGCGGAGGTAGAGCTGGGCTGGGCAAAGCAGAACAGCCTGGGCTCTTGGGAGGAGGCTCCCTCTGGGAAAAGTTGGTAGCGGCTTTGGCTTGACGTGGGGGCAGGGCAGGAGGAGACTGGCCCAGCCTTAACAGCTTTGCCCTTAGGGCAGGGGTCTGTGCCAGGTGTGGGTGTTGGATGGAAAGGGTGGAGCTGAACCACCACCAGCCTTTACTTAAGGTCCCCTCTTGCAGCTCTTGGCCTCACTGCTTCTGTATTGCTGTGATAGCCATGTCTGGGAGCTCCGTAAGTGTTCTGAGGCTGCGGGAGCCGGGCCAGGGTGGGGCAGGTCGGGAGGTCTGGCCTTCCCGAAACCTCCCCTTCACAGCCTCAGGAGAGCTGAGTGCTGCCTGTCTCTTGGGTCTCCCCAGCTGGTCCTGAAGGTCTCCCCAGGCTGGCTTCCCTTTCTTGTAACTGTTCTGTCCATCCACGTCTGTGTCTCTGCCTCCCCTCTAATCTGCTTGTCTTCTGTCCTGTCCCTGGAGTTCCTAACTGGGGTTGGCCCATCTGTTTCTTTGTCTCCCTGGTTCTCATCCCTGCCCCACCCAAATCTTTCAGGCCACCCACCACAAGACCCCTCTGCTTCAGGGTCTCCGCCCCGGCACAGTCATGAGAATTCGAGGTGTCGTCCCTGAACAGGCTGGCAGGTGACATCCTGGGTTCTAGGACGTGGGTGGGGGATGAAAAGTAGGTGATCTCCAGGCTAAGTGGATCGTTTCTCACAGCCCGTACATGGGGTTCCTGGGGCCTAGTCTATCAAGTAGGGTCTTTGACTGTCTGTTGCTATCTTAATTTGGATGTATTCACTGATGTTCCCAAAGACTTCGTAGGTGGGTGCTCAAATTTCCCTAAAAATTTAGGGTTCTAGGGCAACCTCAAGAATCCCTGGTCAATCCTAGGAGCTCGATGTCCCATTTTTCAGGAGCCTGAAAATCTGCCTTGGGTCTTGACACCAGAGTACCCGGTCATCAAGCCCATGGTCTACTAAAATTGGGACCTCGGACTTTGTGGGAGTATTGCTAATCTAGAATAATAGGGTCCATGCTACCAGGCCTGCTTATCTGGGGTGGGATTCCCTGTAATCAGGAACACAGCCCACCGATCACACCAGAACTCCAGGACAGCTCCAGCGTCTGGAAATGAGGCTATAAACATGGGGACTCTGTGTGGGTGGATGTGTGCCCAGGGAACCATATAAACCTTCGCATGGTGCTTGCTGATCTCTGAGGCCTACTGTTCCCGGCAGGTTCCATGTTAACCTGCTGTGCAGCGAGGAGCAGGGGGCAGACGCCGCCCTGCACTTTAACCCAAGGCTCGACACATCCGAGGTAGTCTTCAACACCAAACAGCAAGGCAAATGGGGCCGTGAGGAGCGGGGCTCCGGCATCCCCTTCCAACGCGGGCAGCCCTTTGAAGTGCTCCTCATAACCACAGATGAAGGCTTCAAGGTGCGTCTTTGAAGGGGAATGGGTCAGACCCAGGTCTAGAGCAGTGAGCTACCGTGAGTGTGGAAGGAAAGTCCTTGGGGTTCTGGAACCAGGGCCCGGGCCTGACACGAACCTTCTCTCCTGATCTGCTCTTAACAAGACTGAGTGATCAAAAGCCAAGTGCCCAAGGGGTGGGTGTCCCAGCAGGTGTTGTGAACACAAACCGCTCTCTCCCTGTTGCTCCAAGACCAACATCCAGTATCAGATACTGGTAGGGGTCTTGGATGAGACTTCTCACCCACATCATTCACCACCTTCAATCCCCGCTGCCATAGATGGCCGCTCAAATCGTGGTGGTGACATCAGCAGCCCACACTCAAACACCTTTGTCCTGTGTGGATCTGAACTCACTGTGTCCCATTAAAATGGACAACAGACCCATTTTCCGTCTGAGAGGAGAGAGGCTTGCTGTGGTTAGCGTTTTCCCCAGTCGTGGACCGCGATCCGCATCTAGGCCTAATTTAAGCTTTCCCCCTGCAGGCAGTGGTCGGGGACGAAGAGTACCTCCACTTCAATCACCGGATGCCACCCGCGAGCGTGCGCTTGGTGGAGGTGGGCGGAGACGTGCAGCTGCATTCTGTGAATGTCTTCTGAGCCAAGGGCGGCAGGGTGGGGGAGGATCGCAGAGGAGGGTGTGGATGACGAATAAAGTGTAGCTGTAGTTCCCGACTGTGTCTGTGTCCTTTATGTGTGGCTGAAAAAACTGAGAAAAACAGTGATCCAGGGTCACAGTGAGCCTGTGTCGAGACCGCATCAAACCTGCATGGCAAGGAGGTAGCTGAGCAGAGGCCCAGCGCTTTCCTTCCGGGAGCACCTAGGTGCTGGTGCTGGTTTGGGTGGGGGAAGGGTAAAAAACAGTCTGTGTAGCCCAGGCTGGCCTCAGACTTCCAGCCATTCCTTTGCCTCAGCCTCTCAAGTGCTGGCAGAGATTACAGGGGTGCACTATCACATCAATTATTTTGTAACTATTTGTAAGTGTGTGTGTGTGTGTTTCATGCCAATGAGTGACAAAGGTGTCCCATTCCTTGGAGGTGTTGTTACAAGCAGTTGTGAGGTGCCCAGCGTGGGTGCAGGGAACCGAACTCAGGTCTAGTGCAAGAACATCAAGCGCCCTTTACACAGGAAGCTGTTGTGTTCTGGCGGCCTGCCGGCATTTGGAGGTACCCTTTATGTGACACTATGTCATCTTCACAAAGGTCACCAAATGTTTCCTTTTGAAAAAGCAGAAATGCTGGACATGGTGGCTCACGTCTGTTATCTCAGTATTCTGGCGGCTGAGGCAAGAGAATTGCCCTGAGTTGGAGGCGAGCCTGGGATACACACAGAATGAGATTCTGTCAAACAAACAAACAAAACAAAACAAAACAAAAAAACCATCAAAACACAAATAAAAAACTCAAAGGAGTTCCGCTTTATCTCTCTCATTCGGGCACCCCAAACTTTCGGCTCCCGGGAGCCTCGGAGGCACCTGGGCATGCGGGGGAGGGCATCCCTCTGGGTGGCCCCCAGCTGGGAGCCGCACCCAGCGTCGGGACAGGCCGCTGCTCGCGCGTCCCCGGGGCAGACGCGACGTCTCCAGCAGACGGTGCTCGGCTGGGCGGGGCGGGGCGCCGCGGGCAGGCCTGGGTCCCGGTCGCGGCCGTGCGCCCCTTGGACACGGGTCCTGCGGTCCTGACCCGACGATCCCGACCGCCCGCCCTGCCATAAATCAGCGATTTTGGCGGCGGGGACCCGGTGACTAGCGCAGCCCGGTCGCCGGGTTGATTTTCAGGCTCGGTCGGGGAGTCGCTTCGGTGCCCCAGAGCCAACCCTCCCTGTGGCCTCCACTTTAGGCTGTAGGTGGGAGCGCCGAGCTGCCTTTCTTCCCGGAGCATTCTTCTGGAGACACGCCCAGGAGGGACGCGCCAGAGGACTGTGCCCAGGCCTAGAGCACAAACGACAGTCCCCCTCTAGCGGCCGGCGTCCACCTTGCCACCTGGATCAACCCGAGCGCAGGACACTCGCCTGGATGTCTGTGGCCTCACTGGGGACCTGGAGGCAGGACCCCCAGGGTTTGGCTCTTCCTCCACCCCAAGTTTTCTGCCCCTGGCACCTTCCGCTGGAGACCCCTCGCCTTGCCTGCGCCCTGAAAACCCAGAGGCCGCTCTAAAGTCCGGCGCCCCCTAGCGGCAGAAAAGAATTCCCGGAAACCCCTGAGTCCCACAGAGGCAGAGCGTTCCGAGTTAATTCTTCATTTAAAATTAAATTAAATGTATTTGTTTTTGGTTTTTCCAGACAAGGTTTCTCTGTGTAACATCTCTGGCTGTCCTGGATCTCGCTCTGTAGATCAGGCTGGCCTCGAACTCACAAAGATCCTCCTGGCTCTGCCTCCTGAGTGCTGGGGATGTGTGTGCAGGCATGAAGGCCTAAGGTTGATGTCAAGAATCTTCCTCAGCCTGGGCGGTGGGGACGCACGCCTTTAATCCCAGCACTCGGGAGGCAGAGACAGGCGGATCTCTGTGAGTTCGAGGCCAGCCTGGGCTACCAAGTGAGTCCCAGGAAAGGCACAAAGCTACACAGAGAAACCCTGTCTCGAAAAATCAAAAAAAAAAAAAAAAAAAAAAAAAAAACTTCCTCTATCAGCCTTCAGCTTATTAATTGAATAGATTTCAGAAACCCCCCCCAGCTGGCTGATCTCTTTGTGGGAAGGGAGGCTGGTCGTTTCCTCTGGGGATCCTGTATCTATCTGCCTTTTGTAGGAGGCCTGCCAAACAAGCCCAGCTTTCGTGTGGGTTCTGGAAACCAGGACTCTGATCATCTTCATCACATGGGGACCTTCATCCCTAAGGCATCTTCCACAGCCCTCAGCGAATGAATTTTTATTTATTTATTGTTTTGGAGGCAGGCCTGGAACCTACTATATAGATCAGTCTGGGCTTGAACTCAGACATCTGCTGGCCTCTGAGTTCTGGGAATAAAGGCGTGTGCCACCACAGCCGGATCAATGAGTTAATTCTTATTTATTTGTGTCCATTACTTATTTTTAAGTGTTTTTGTAAAGATCTCTCTCAGAGGGGCGGCAGGAACGACTCAGTGGTTAGGAATGCTTGCTGGTCTTGCAGAGGACCTGAGCTGGTTCCCAGCGCCCACATCAGGCAGCTCATAAGAACCTGTAACTCCAGCTCCAAGGATGCCTGTACACACATGCGTGTGACCTACTACCACCACATACACATAATTAAAGATAATAAAAATAATTCTTCAAAAAATGATATCCCAGGAAGATGTGGTGGCACACATCTTTGATCCCAGCACTTGGGAGGCAGAGGTAGATGGATGTCTGTGAGTTTGAGGCCAACCTGGTCTACAGGGTGAGTTCCAGGACAGTCAGGGCTACACAGAGAAACCCTGTCTCAAGAAACCAAATTAAGCAAACAAATTTTTAAAAAAATAAAAATAGACAGGGTGTGGTGCTCCATGCTTTTAATCCCAGCACTTGGGATGCAGGAGGTGGATGTTTGTGAGTTCTAGGCTACATAATGATACTCTGCTTTAAAAAAAAAAAATCAAAACAGACAAAAAAACATGCGGTGATTCAAGTTTTCATATGAGGTATTTTCCCCCAAACTCTCTGTAGACTTCAAAACACATTCCCATTAGCTAACTTTCCTCCCTGGGTATATGGAAGCGTGGTCCCTCTGTTGCTGCTGGCATCCCATAACACACCAGTGACATCCCTGGGTCCCTAGTATGTGCTACTCCCCATTATGAATGTTCTTAAAAGAAAAAAATTATTATTTAAAACCTTTTTTAGTTATTTAATGTGGATGGGTGTTTTGCCTGCACCTATGTGTGGGCAGCACATGCATGCCTGGGATCCCTGGAGGCCAGAGAGGTCATCAGATTCCCTGGAACTGGAGTTTCTGATGGTTGTGAGTCATCATGTGGGTGCTAGGAATCAAACCTGGGTCCTCTGGAAGAGCAGCCAGTGCTCTTAACCTCTGAGCCATCCCTGTATACATATTTTTAAAGATGGTTTCATGTAGCCCAGGCTAGCCTCAAACTCACCATGTAGTTGAAGATGACCTTGAACTTCTGCTCCTCCTGCCTCCACCACCAGAGTCCTGGGATCATAGGTATGCACCATCATGCCCAGTTTTTTTTTTTTTTTTTTTTTTTGTTTTGTTTTTCGAGACAGGGTTTCTCTGTGTAGCTTTGCGCCTTTCCTGGATCTCGCACTGTAGACCAGGCTGGCCTCGAACTCACAGAGATCCGCCTGCCTCTGCCTCCCGAGTGCTGGGATTAAAGGCGTGCGCCACCACCGCCCGGCTTCATGCCCAGTTTTATTCAATAGTGGCGATGGAATCTAGAGTTTCATGCATGCCACGAAGACTCTTCCTAGGTAGCTGCATTCCTCAGCCCCATGGTTATTCCTTTCAAGTTTTTTAAAAAAGATTTATTATTTTGGGTTGGAGAGATGGCTCGGTGGTTAAGAGCACTGGCTGTTCTTCCAGAGGTCCTGAGTTCAATTCCCAGTAACCACATGGTGGCTCACAACCATCTGTAATGAGATCTGGTGCCCTCTTCTGGTGTTCAGACATGCAGGCCGACAGAACACTATACATAATAAATAAATAAAATTTAAAAAGACATTTATTATTTTTATTACGTATGTATGAACATTCTGCCTGCATGCATGTATGTGCACTCTGTGCTTGCCTGGTGTGCACCAGGGTTGGCCTCGAACTCACAGCAGTCCTCTTCGATCTTCCTGCCTCAGCCTCTTGAGTATTAGGATTGTACACCACATTCAGCAAAAAGTTGTACACAACATATATTTGACCTGGCTTTCTTTTTTTTTTTTCTTTTTTTTCTGGAGCTGAGGACCAAACCCAGGGCCTTGTGCTTGCTAGGCAAGCGCTCTACCACTGAGCTAAATCCCCACCCCAGACCTGGCTTCCTCATCCTGTTAAGGTTGTATTGGGTATCTATTGCTGCATTAACAAGCTGAAAACTTAGCCCCACTGACTGTCTTACTTGGCATCTGAGGTTAGGAATTTGGGGTGGCTTTCTAGGTGGTGGCTCAGGACTGCTCAAGCCGGTGGAACTTAGAGTCATATAAAAGAGAGAGTGGCATACCGTGGGTAGGGGCCCAGGCCACCCACTGCCTATGGCTCACAAGCTAAGAATGAGTTTTCCAGGCTTAGATAGCTAGAGAGAAAAAAAAATCAAAGAAGGCTTCCATTACACGATAATGAAAATTATATGAATTCAAACTTTGGTGTCCACAAATAAAGTTTTATTGGCACTCAGCCACGCTCATTCTGTTGTGTTATCTAGTGGCTGGTATGGTGCTTCACCAGCGTGGCAACATTGTGGCATCACCCACAATGCATCACAGTTTGCATCACCCATAGTGCCTCGTGCACTCAAGCCAAGCCCTGCACAGAGAAGGTGCGCGGCCCTTCCAAAGACCTGGCTGCTGCTGGGGGTCTTCCTCTCAGAAGATGCTCAGATGTGAGTGTTGGCACGAGACCTGAGTATTGCCACTTGTGTCTTCCCATAGGAGGCACACGAAGTGACCAAATGCCCTCAGAGGCTGCCCAGAGCCCCTTAGACACGGAGTCATCACCCTTCCAACCCTGGTGTGATTTGGGAGGTGAACACTGCCAGTTCCAAAGCTTGGGAGGTCACCATGGACCTGGATGCCACAGATAACCTGAGATTTTGGTTTTGCGGTTTTTTTTTGTTGTTGTTTGTTTGTTTGTTTTTTGGAGACAGGGTTTTTCTGTGAAACAGTCCTAGCTATCCTGGAACTCAGTCTGTAGACCAGGCTGGCCTCAAACTCACAAAGATCCGCCTGCCTCTGCCTCCCCAGTGCTGGGATTAAAGTCGTGTGTCATCACTACCCGGTGAGTTTTGTTTTTTTGGTTTTTGTTTTTCCTTTTGAGAAGGATCTTTCTGTGTAGCCCAGGTTGGCCTCAAACTGGATCCTCCTGAGTGTTGCGATTAAAGGCATCATCACCATGTCTGATTTAAGAGTTGTTTCACTCTGTGTGTTGACAGAGGACTTCAATCCCAGGACTGGGAGAGGCAGAGGCAGTCATGTGTCTGTGTGTTTAAGTCAGCCTGATAGCCTACATAGCCAGTTCTAGGTCTGATCTACATACCAGTTCTAGGTCTGATCTACATAGCCAGTTCTAGGTCTGATCTACATACCAGTTCTAGACCTGACCTACATAGCCAGTTCTAGACCCGATCTACAAAGCCAGTTCTAGGCCTGACCTACATAGCCAGTTCT